GAGTCGCGGAACGAATTAAGTTCGTGAACTGAGGTACCACTGTATTTAGAAGGCAATATTGAAACTCCTACATATAAAAGGAGAACCAAAATCTAAACATACTCAGAAAACAAAAAGATTTATAAATATAAAATACATTTTAATTATGCACTGAATTTCAGTGACATTGCCCTTGAAATCTAAATTAAATGCAAGTAAAATATTGAGGTATAATTTCACATACAGAAGGTTACAGGTTATATATTCCAGATCTCTCTAATCAAAAACATTTGCAAAGAAGTACTGGAAAAGAATCTAGAGAATTTTTGCCACACAGTTGATGGATTAATAGTCTTACCTGATATTAGATACTTTCTATGGTCCTAATATATCTATGACAATTGTACATATTGCATACCTCAGGATTTTAGTATTTCTTTTTTTAAACAACAACAACCAGCTTTAAGTAGGAATGCAGGAAAGGGCAGCAAATCTAGTATCTTTCCTAAGCTATCTTCCCCCATTTAAATGTATTGTAAGGGTACTGATCCCCAACTTTTTTCTCTCTACAAGAAAAGGATCATCCTCAAGATACTATTTTGGGAGGAAAAAGGATCAGCAGGGAAAAGTAAATCACACTTCCTTCTTTGTTTCTGATTGAAGCTTCCTATGGCTGATTTTTATTATCATTCTGTGTAGCACTTTGGATTCTGCCTCCAAAGGATGCTTTGGAGTGCATGAAAGCATGAATGTTGCTACTGTCTCAATACTAGAGCAGCTGCAAAATCCAAGGAAAAGGTGGCTCTACTTTAGTGTATTTGCTTTCCAGCACATTCTGAAGCACGTTTTAGAAATCAAGTCAAAAGCACTGCATAGCTTAGCTATTACTATCTTAGAGGAGAAACACTGCAAGTTTCTTGTTACAAAACACATCATGTACCACTACAGACTAATATATTGGAATTGCAGGTTTATTAAAGCAAGTTTCTAATTCTTAACTGGCTTTCCCAGTGATGCTTGCCTGTCATAAATAGATTATGAATTCCATTGTAGCTGGATCCTACTCCTTTCATGTCACCATCTCTTCCAAGTAAAATATTACTTTCTTGTTGGGTGTTATGAGATTTTTCTTCATAAATTAGAAAAGCATATACAGTGGTACCTCTAGTTACGAACTTAATCCGTTCCGTGACTCTGGTTGCAACTCGAGTTGGTCTCAAGTCGAGGTAAAGTTTCCCATAAGGTTCAATGTAAATCCGGTTAATCTGTTCCGTCCGCTGAATTTGGTCACACCCCAAGGTAAATTTCCCCCATAAGGTTCAATGTAAATACGGCTAAACCGCCCTCCAAATTTGGTCGCACCCCGAGGTAAATTTCCCCCATAAGGTTCAATGTAAATATGGCTAAAC